CGGCGTCTCTTCAGTTCCCAAGTTTCTAAGCGGCCGGACGAACCGAAAGATGTCTAGCTCACCCTCTACTAGTTCTCCGGGCTAGTGCCGGAGATGCCAAGTGGCAGTGTCCTGCGACAATGTCCGGACATAGCCAGCGACTTGAAGGGCAACACACGTGCCCCGCGCGTCTCCTCGTCTCAGACCCTCAACCAGATCGCTACTAAGACGCGCTAGCTGCGCGCGAGACGAACGCCCCGCTCACATGCTACCGGGGCAGACGTGCGCCCAAGGAGCACACTTTATACGCCTTAAAACTGTTATAGCTATAAACTGTCTTAATATGGTATATATTTAGATAATAGTTCTCTATAAATGGTTTTAGAAAAAAGAAATTATTCCTATAGACTTATTTCACTCAAGTTAAAATTTTAATACCTTCTTAATACCAAACAACTTAAGTGTAATCTCTCTTAAGATTTGCTCCTATAGTCCTAATTTTAAGTTCATCTGTAGAACAACTGATTTTTTTTAGTAAAATTGTTCTAAACGCATCCAGTACAGTTTAATAATACTCTAAAAACTAGTGTTCTTAAGTTTATTCTAGATATATTTAATTTATAGACATTCTGTAATGTTTGTGCTTATGACAAGCACGTTATAGCGCGTCTTCAGTAGATTTTATTTAAAAAAATACTACAGTTAGGGTTTTTACTCTATTGGACGTTGTAAGAGTTCATGCAAAATGGATAAAGTAAAGAATATTGAAAGATCTGGTGGAGGTGGTGAACCTTGGATATTAAGTCACATCACTGGATACAATCAGCGTTGCCAACGCCAATTGTTCAAAATCCCTAAAAATCACGGTTAAAATCCCCAAATTTGAGAAGAGCATATATTCCCCACACCACGAGTTTTCATTATTTATTAGAAATACATCGCTTAAAAATATAATAAATAATTAAGAAACTCAAAATGTAATAATCTATTACGTTCGCTGTGAATGTAAAATGAAAACTAATTACAAAATTAGATGACCTTAAATCGTTTATTTATTTTAATTAGATTCAACATTAATCTGTAATCAGTCTTTGAAAAAAAATTCATTTTTCTTTGCCTTACAAAATTAAGTAAATATATATATATAGTAGTATTTGTTGTGCATTTGGTGACACTATATTAATGTTAGAAATAATCAATGAGTTTCGACCTATATTTAATATTTAAAGTTGACGAGTGGTAAGTTGTGGTGTGGAAATACTAACTGCTCGGCTTTGTTTATCAATAGCTGATTTCGTTTTGCTTCATACCGGGGACCGGCCAAGACGGGAGAAAGAATCGCGAACTCAACACGCACCGACTGGTAATTTTACAATTCAGAACCAAGTGCTCTAATAATAATTATATTTAAGGTGCTTGTTAATAATACGAGGGATGTGCGATGTTGAAAAACACGTCGATATAGTCCATCACAATGTTTCTAACAGTAACGATCCAACTAGCGATGCATCAGCAATTGATAACAAAATGATAAAATGTTAGAATCCCCACATGTTCTTCACATAGCCCCAATTTCCACAAAATCCCCAATCTAGTTGAAATTTCCCACAATTTGGGGAATTCTCCACAAATTGGCTACAATAGTCGTAATTCGCGCACGAGCCGGTTTTTGTTTGTTGACAAATAAATAAACATTGTTGAGTAAGTTCGTGTTCTGAAATGATAAAAACAATTTAAATGAGCGCGTAAACTACTGTATTTCAATGTTGTGTATATGTATTGTGCCGTCTATCAATAGAATACATTGAAATCATTGTGAAATGTGGTTGGCGTGAAGAAATAACCTCAATTTTGTAATGAAAATTTTATTTCTTCCAACATAAAATAGGTATGTCATTAAAATATTCCCTGAATTTATCTACCTTTCTAATTATACAATAACTTTATTTGCGACAAATTGGATTTTTTGATTGTTTTTTTTTATAACCTAGTTGTTTTGTGAAGTTTTTCATGGCATAATACGCTCACTATTCCTATAACTTTTATAAAGGTTTTGTAATATTGTCAAAAGAAAAAATCGCTTAGAAACATCGCGTTTTGTAGACAATCATAAAAGATTCATAGGAGTGAATATTCTTCTACAAGATCAACTACACTAAAGCAAGTAAAAATAGTCTTTTCGTATTCTAAATTTTTTCTATAGATAAAGCTATAGACAAAATACTCCAACAGTGTTTAGAAAAAAGCAATAAATTCTTATCGCCATTTTTATTTTCAAAGAATGAGTATGAAGCAGCCGAGAAAAATTTCTTTTCTTTTTAAAAAGTAAATCTAGGTTTAAATTAGCTTGAAGAAGCCTAGAACTTTTGGAAGTGGTTTGTTTTGTGAGTTATTATGTATATTTAAGCTTTCTATAAATATTTAAAACCGAAAATCGATAACTGTATTTTTATTAAGTTTATATTTTATACATAAATATTTAAAATTTAGCGAGCGCATTATTTTTATGACAGGTTTTAAATCGCTTTTCACAATGAATTTAAAATCGCACGCCAATTCGCGCTTTCTAACCGATTAAATATTGCGCGATAAAGTCAGAAATATTATATCTAATTTCGCCATGTTGTAATTTTGATAGTTTATATTTTGTAAGATTAAACTTGAAATCTTTTTTTATTATATTATAAATTAGTATTAAGAGAATTGCGTCTTATGTTTGTAACGCTTCAGTGTTTTGGTTTTAAAATAGTACTACTAAGAAAACTATCAGACTATAAATTATCTAGAAACTACAAGACTAAATAAAAACTGTCTACATTCTACAAATTGTCTTGTAGCATTCTAGAAGGGTTACTTGAGAAAAAGATAAGAATCACTTTTAAGACTACCTACAGATAGTTTCTCAAAGCACTCTTGTGATCTACTAATAAAGTTGTGCCCACTTTTACTTTAAGTTATCTAGAAACCTTCTTCGAGATATCTTGAGGGAATTTGAGCTCTTAATTAAAATATTCAATCGAATTAAATTCTATTAGATATCTTATAGTATATATTTAGATATGGGTGTGCTGCTTGGGCGTGTTCGTCCCTGCAGCTAACCACAAACCCCGAAGTGTCCATACCCAAGTCCGGGTCCGCCAGAGACGCCCGTGAAGACGTATAACTGGCGGATTGCTTGGCCCGGACGCCCGCCGTACCCTGGTCTTGCCGTCGAGCTCGTAGTCTCTCCGGAAAACCCTCTCCGGAAAAATCTCTCGGGTCAGTAGATAGGACACAATATATATGTAATAATGTTGGACAGTGGAAAAAGTACGGCGGCCATATTGGAAATTGACGTAATCTAAAAACCACAAACATAATTTTCGTACTATGCCAAATTTCAGCACGATCGGTGTTTTATTTCTACTACTATTAACCTCCATACATGATCGGATGTCAAATTTCAGTCCTTTTATTTTGGGCCGCCATTTTGAGTCCGCCATCTCGAAATTATTTGCGTACTTGCAGTTGGCTCGTACGTATTCTGTATGATATTTGTGTGAGCGCCTCTCACTTATCTTCAATACTCAGAGATGTAGTCCTCGGAACATGGTGGACTGAGGAAAATGTATGGCGGCCATATTGGAAAATGGCGCAATCAAGAATTTAACCGCAAATTCGTGTTACTGTCACGTTGATATGGAAAAATGTTAAATTTCAGCCGGATCTGAGCACCTTTTTGTCGGGCCGCCATCTTGAATCGGTCATTTCGAAAAAATAGTTTTGATAGGCAATTGACTCTTACCGCCCTCTACGACATTACTTTGAACACCAAAATTTGTATGGCGGCCATTTTGTTGTTCGAATTTCGAATTTTTTTACTCTTGGTGAGAACTGCCCAGGGTGTGGATGAACGTTTGTTTGGAGATATATACTTTGGCCGGGTAGCTGGGGCTCCACCTGATGCTTTCCGAAGATTACGGTACCTCCTGATATTCATCAAATCCGTCCGACCATAATTCCCCTACATCATTTTTACCCACCCGCCCGACTTCTGGGAGAAAAGTGACGCCAAAGCGTAGAAAATTCACATGTATGGCGGCCATCTTGGAAAAAGGCGGAATCCAAATTTCGACCACTGATTGGGATAATGGGCCCTGATACACGACCGAATGCCAAATTTCAGCCGGATCGGAGCACTTTTTTTAGGTCCCTATTTTGCGTTGGCGATCTTGAAAAAAATTTGTCACCGGTAATTGGCTCCTGCCACCCTCTATGACAATTGGTCGAGCACCGCCTATCTTCAATACTCGTCGAGCCACAAGGCTCTAAAATTTGTACGTAGGCCATCTTGTTTTTTCGAATTTCGAATTTTTTTACTTCCAGTAGAAACTGCACAGGGTGACGGCCATTTTTAGTTTGATGACCCTGCCGGTAGGTGTTATACAAGCTACAGTTGAGGTCCCCTACCTGATGCAGTCCGTTTTTCGAAGGTTTCGGATTTTTCTGGTACTCGCCGGAGCCATCCGAACACGACTCCCGTACATTATTTTGACCCACCTCGACTCCTTCTGGAAGAACAGCTATGTCAATGACTACATCAGTCAGTCAGTCAATGGTATATAATAATTTTTTTTTAAGTTTTTTAATGTAAGCGACATGCTATGTCTTAAACCACTGGGCATTCCTAAATTTGAATAATACCAATCGATAGAGAGGGAACTTCCGAATCCAATGATACCAGTGATATATCTATCTCATTTTCGACAAAATGTCCCTTACGTTAATTGATACTTCTGGTATCGATATGTGGAACACTTTTTTCCGACCTATGGTTATTACACATATTTCTTTAAAAGATCCGGGCCGTATTTATTCTGTGCCGACTACTATGTTAATTAGATACCTGTCTAATTTTACTATAAGGTATCGATGGTATAATTATTTGTCTTCTAAAAAGTAAAAAGGGTGAAGGCAGTAATCCAAAGAATATTTGGGAGAAGTTACGTCTAATTGTTACCTATTAGGTTATTTTGACATACTCAGCCATTGAATTACGTATTTCTTCGGTTGTCAAGTTGGCGGTGAGATCTGGGTAATCCCTCCACCGTTTGTTACTAGGATCCTTAGCCCAGGCTAATTGGAATGGAGTCAGGCCTGGCTTATAAAAATATTTGCAATCGCGGCAGTGACTTGGTACCGGTATCTAAAAGAGAACGCAACGTTTATTTGCTGGTATAAAGATTGTGTACCACGTAAGTAATAATTATCAACGATTCGATTTTATTTCACCTATTGATATTTCAAAAGAAAATGAACTTATTTTTTTAAGTTTTCATTGTCATCAAACATTGCGTAGAACGCTTATTTATTGCGACAAATTGCCCATAGTTTATACTTGTTCTATTTGTTGAATATTGAACTTTTACGTCGGTAACATCGAGTATATTTTTGGTTATATACTCGATGCTAGAAAATAATCGAATAAAAATACCCTAAACCGTGAAATAATCGGTAACATACATTTTCTTTCAATCCACGGCATGCGCGTCTCTTACGATATTGCACGCAGTCCAAATCAAATTGATAAGATCGCGGGAAAACGTCTTGATGAGCTGTGACAAAAAGTGCCTATGGAATTTTTGTAGTAAGTAAGTGCGAGGCGACACTGGCGCTGCCGGTGCATTACGTCGGCGTCATCGCAACGCTATGATTTCAACGCACCAAGTGCCACAAGACACGAGCAATGCGGCGTCGCAAGGAAACCGCGCCGCTTACTTACCGGACTGCAGCACCCCTCCCCGCTTCGTCTCCTGGCTCCTTGTCCGATGTGCATGCATTCGTTTCAATGCACCATGTGACGTGTCGTCGACAAGGCTGAGACTTGCTTGTTTTATATTACTTGCAAACAATATTTGTCAATCGTTTTGATTGCACCTTAATTCTGAATTGTAAGAGGGCTACCAACTTCTGTGAAATGAGTGTCATATAACTACGTCTACGTCATCTCTTATTTTTTGAAGTGCTACGTTTGAAAACTTACTATCTCAAGAAGAATACAAATTTAAGAGCGTGAATTGTATACTTAAGTAGAAAAAATGGACAGTGCAATAATTGAGTATAGTATCTAGAATGAGAGAACCGTCTAAACTTCCAGTTCGAACCTGTTCTTTCATTCCCTGTCCTCTTTCCTCGTCGGAGAAAGCTTTTCGAAGGTGTATGAAGTTTCTAAGGATCCAAAGGCTTTGGCCTAAACTTTCTCCTTAGATGAGATGCGAGGACGACGACGTTATGAATTTGGGTACCAGGAGTACTTCAATAATTTAATGTCATTGCATGAACTTTAATTAAAATAACTTCTGTCCTTATTTATTAATAAGGTCAGACTGCTGAAAATCATCATAATCCATTTCGTTAATTGTTTGACAAATACAATGGTTTTCATTGTTTTGAATTTTACTAGCTTTGAAGTTATGAAACTTGGCTCCAATTCTCGGGTCATGAACTTGTACCCGGCTCTGTAAGCTGTATTTATGCATACTTAAATCAGTATTAGAACAGCTTTATTAATTAACAGTAAACTTTATTGATATAGATAGATGGTTAATGTCGAATATTACAGCAATGTTTTTAAGTGTAGGCTTAATATAATGGATCCAAAATAGCATAATAATATATTAAAAGGGGGTTTTGTAGCCTGTGTAGATTGCCCCGAGAGCATCATTTGTGGGTCATCAATATACTTTTTATCTATACCACAATAGTTGTACAAACGAGCACGTAATAGACCTGCTACTCAGGGCGCTCCTTCACCGCGAACATGCTCTTGTAATGAAACGTTCAAAAGCGAGCATTACAGGCGGTGAGGGAGGTGAGTTGAGCATTCGCTACGCAACACTTGTAACATTCAGTAGCCTCCTTCACCGGGAACATTCGCCTGTAACAATCTGTTCAGATTGTAAGGCTGCGACTTCACCAGATATAGTGGGAATGTTTTCAAGTCTTTAATTAAGTAAGGTGCCAACGAGTGCCTTTGAGTGCCCGCGAGTGCCTTTAAGTGCCTGTTAGTGCCTTTAAGTTCCTTTTAGTGACTTTGAGTGCGTTTGAGGATCTTGAGTGCGTTTGAGGATCTTGAGTGCGTTTGAGGATTTTGAGTGCGTTTGAGGATCTTGAGAGCGTGTGAGTGCTCGCGAGTGCCATTTAGCGCCTTTGAGTGCATTCCAGTGCTTTTGATTACTTTGAGTGACGTTGAGTGCCTTTTAGTTCCTTTTAGTGCCTTTTGTGCCTTTGAGGGTCTCGAATGCCTTTTAGTGCCTGCGTATGCCTTTGAGTGACGTTGAGTGCCTGTGAGTGCTTTTGAGTGTCTTTGTGTGTATTGAGTGCCTTTGAGAATCTAAAACGCTCTGAAAACCACTCGCGGGCACTAAATGTCACTCAAAGGCAATTACAGGCACTCAAACGCACTCAGACGCATTAAAATGCACTCAAGACACTCAAAGGCACTCAAGGGCATTCAACATCACTCAAAGGCACTCAAACGCTCTCGAGGCCCTCAAAGGCACTCAAGAGCACTGAAAGGCACTCAAGGGCACTCGTGGGCATCCAAAGGCACTCGCGGGCACTCAAAGTCACTCGCGGGCTATATGCAACCAAATATTCTAATGAGTTCTAGAAGCATGAACACCGTCAACCTAATTGCTATGAATTAACAAGTTATTAAATGTTATAGATTGTATTTAGGTTATAGTACTACGAGCATCTGTAATAAATATTGCTATGATTAACGAAAACGTTACTTTTTTGCTCTCTGCAAAAACCCTTAAAATAAAATAGTTATGTTGAGCGCCTATTAAAACATTATGCCTATGTTGCAGTTAGTAGAACAATAAGTTTGTCAAACTCTATTCATGACCGGCACACCGCTGCCGCCGTCCTGTAAAAGTTGTTGAAAATTCTATGTACCCTCACTCCATTCTAGAGAACATTGGATGTCAATATTTTTACCATACCATATTATAGAGAAGTTGGTGGCACTATAATGCGGAATAGTTCATAACGTACGCGGCAAAACCATTTCTGTGGACATCCCGTAATCATAGTAGGCATCATGAAGCGTATAAGCGTTGTTTCCGGGCTTGTCCACCCAGAACGCTATGTCTTTGCGAACCATGTTGTTTATAACGGAGTCTGGCAACTCTCGAATGGTCGGTCTGAGAAAAATTACCTTAAATTAATTAGCTACTGTTAGAGAAATTAATGAAACGCTTAAACCAATAGGGGACTTTACCAAAAAGCAAAACCAACAAAAAAACTGGGGTAGTAGGTGTAGTCGCTATGGTTTTCCATAACACAATTAGCGAATTGCGTACATTCTTGTAGTTTCGAGCTTTGAGTTTAATAAACTTTCTAAGGAGGTTTTCAACCAAAATTTAGCATGGTCTCTGTAGTACATAAAAAGAAATATCTCCACATTATCTCCACATAAAATTATGTACACCGTTAGATTTTTATTCTGAAATAAATCGTTTTTGACCTTTATTTACGCCTATTTGCAGGATTTTATATGATCGATAAAGTACTTCCTATCGTGTAACAATGATTTGTTCTTGTTGCACATCTTTTGGACAATTTTCTTAAGTGTATCGTAACTATATTTTTTGTAAGACCGTTATCTAATAGCATCGAGTAATAACCAGAAATAGAAATGAAATAAGAGCCATCCATCCCTGGGAACTCATCAGGTAAATGGGTCTTATATCACTTTTGAATATCAGCTCTCGTTTGCGCTGAAATCACAAATTAGAAAGCTAAAATAGTACCTACAGCGTCAACAACTCACTTGTGTGTACGTCTCTGTATATTCCAAAAACGTTCTGTATTTATTGTAATAAAGATAATATCTCTAACAATAGAGTCTGTTCTATTCGGTGGTGTGGGAAAAACAGCAAAACATCTAATTACAAAACAAACGGAATCACATTTTGTCGGTACCTATTAAATATTAAATATTAATATTAATTTTGCGATTTCTGTCCATTATAGCAAAGCTCAAGTTAAACTGGTCGTTTTGAATTGAAACAATTGACGACAGCCGTCAATTGTTTCGAATTCGGGCTGGCCAATGGGAGCGCACTTGCACAGTACTGATTTGCCAGAATAGTTTTCAAACAAACGCCATCTATTGGCTATTAGATTCATAAAATCATGACGATCCCCCTTAAATGACATTTCGTCTGTAATTCTGGTCATACACTCGATGTTTAATTGTAAATACCTAAATTATTTGATCTATACTAAAAATTTTCTAAGACGATCCTTGTGACTTCAGAAAATTCTACATAATATAACCTTGTAACGACGTCCATTAGTTTACGTATTTTATAAACTATTTTTATAAGTCTCGCTTTTATGTGAATAACTTTGTTTAGGCAAATACATAAAATTAAAGAAAAAATAACACCAAATTAGTGAGAAACGAGCAGAGAACATTTTATTATTAATAAATTTTATTATTAATAAAAGTATAATTAATTTATTTCTAAGACCACGTTCAAAGGTTACTTTATTGGCATGCATTTGCTAGAGACGACGTATATCGATAAATAGTTCTCGATAATTTAATGAATAAATATTAACGTCGGTGATAGTGCAAATCCGCGTATGTAGTATTGGTAAAAGGCGCGTATCTGCACCATACAAAATTTCACAGGAGAGGGATTTAACGTTATTACTTTAGTTGGAGACCAGCTGTGACACAGCCTCCTTCGTTTTTGTACTTCGTTTCATTAATTTAGATTCTATTTATAACATACATTTCGACTGTTTTTGTTTAGCAAAATTTTGGCAGTTGCTTCTGCTGCCCTGCCTTCTTCGGTTTCATATTCAATATTTCAAATTAAACGTGTTTTAATCTGCATATAAGCTGTTTCCACCCAAGCAGCACACCAACATCTAAATATATACAATAAGTATCTAATAGAATTTAATTAGATTGAATATTTTAAGAGTTCAAATTCCCTCAAGATATCTTGAAGAAGGTTTCTAGATAATTTAAAGTCAAAGTGGGCACAACTTTATTAGTAGATCACAAGAGTGCTTTGAGAAACTATCTGTAGGTAGTGTTAAGAGTGATTCTTATCTTTTTTCTCAAGTAACCCTTCTAGAATGCTACAAGACCATTTGTAGAATGTAAACAGTTTTTAGATAATTTATAGTCTATGATAGTTTTCTTAGTAATACCATTTTAAAACCAAAATACTAAAGCGTTACAAACATAAGACGCAATTCTCTTAATACTAATTGATTTCAAGTTTAATGGCTTACAAAATACTACTACTTCATAATCATCCTTAAAAATAAAAATGGCGATAAGAATTTAAAAGCTTTTGTCAAAACACTCTTGGGAGTATTTTGTCTATAGCTTTATCTTTAGAGAACCTTTGGAATACGATAAGATTATTTTTATTTGCTTTAGTGTAGTTGATCTTGTTGAAGAATATTCACTCCTATGAATCTTTTATGATTGTCTACAAAACGCGATGTTTCTAATCGATCTTTTCTTTTGACAGTATTACAAAACCTTTATAAAAGTTATAGGGAATAGTGAGCGTATTATGCAATAAAAAACTTTTCAAAACACTAGGTCAAAAAAACAATTGAAAAAATCCAATTTATCGCAAAAAAAGTTATTCTGTATAATTATATGGAATGTGTTATATATGACTAGAAAGGTGGATAAATTTCCTATCATATAAATATAAGGAATATTTGAATGACATACCTAACTTATGTTGGAAGAAATAAAATTTTCATTACAATATTGAGGTTATTTCTTCACGCCAACCACATTTCACACAATGATTTCACTGTATTCTATAGACAGACGGCACAACACACATACACAATATTGAAGTACAGTAGTTTACGCGCTCATTTCAATTGTTTTTATCACTTATTTGTCAACAAACAAATGCCGGCCATGACCGGCCCGAGCGCGAATTACGACTATTGTATCCATGGTTGCCAATTTGTGGGGAATTCCCCAAATTGTGGGAAGTTTCAACTAGATTGGGGATTTTGTTGGGATTGGCGCTATGTGAGGAAAATGTGGGGATTCTAACATTTTATCATTTTGTTTAATCTATCAATTGCTGATGTGTCGCTAGTTTGATCGTTACTGTTAGAAACACTGTGATGGACTACGTCGACGTGTTTTTCAACATCGCACATTCCTCGTATTATTAACAAGCAGCTTAAATAGAATTATTATTACCGCACTTGGTTCTGAATTGTAAAATTACCAGTCGGTGCGTGTTGAGTTCGCGATTCTTTCTCCCGCTTAGGGCGGTCCCCGGTATGAAGCAAAACGAAATCAGCTATTGATAAACAAAGCCCAGCAGTTGGTACTTCCACACCACAACTTACCACTCGTCAACTTTAAATATTAAATGTAGGTCGAAACTCATTGATTATTTCTAACGTTGACATAGTGTCACCAAATGCACAACAAATAATCAATTTACTTGATTTTGTAAGGCACAGAAAAATGATTTTTTGTTCAGACAGATTATAATGATTATTATGATTATAATGTTGAATCTAATTAATATTATAATTAATATAACTGCCTCTGTGGCCGAACAGTTACCATGCTGGACTGCCATGCAGAGGTGCCAGGTTCGAGTTCGGGGTCGGGAGAAATATTTGTATGGCCTACATTTATTTCTCTCGTGAGTTTGGGTGTAATTTGTGGTTGTCTACGTGTATGTCCATGGCACCCGCGACACAGGGTTTCCCTAGTGCGGGGCTATGTTGAGTGTGTACGTTGTTATTATTAAAATAAATAAACGATTTAAGGTCATCTAATTTTATAATTATTTTTACTTTTTACATACTGTTTACATTCACAGCAAACGTGATAGATTATTACATTTTGAGTTTCTTAATTCTTTATTATATTTTTAAGTGATATATTTCTACTAAATAATGAAAATTCGAGTTGTGGGGAATTTGTGGGGAATATGATCTTTGCTCTGCTCAAATTTGGGGATTTTAACCGTGATTTTTGGGGATTTTGAATAATTGGCATTGGCAACGCTGATTGTATCGAATGATGTGACTTAATATCCAAGGTTCACCAGACTTTTGATGTTCTTTACTTTATCCATTTTGCATGAACTCTTACAACGTCCAATAGAGTAAAAACCCTAATTGTAGTATTTGTTTAAATAAAATCTACTGAAGACGCGCTATAACTATAAAGTGTTTGTCAATAAGTACATATACTACAGAATGTCTATAAATTAAATATATCTAGATAAACTTAAGAACACTAGGTTTTAGGTATTAATAGACTTTACTGGATGTGTATAGAACAATTTTACTAAAAATAATCAGTTGTTCTACAGATGAACTTAAAATAAGGACTATAAAAGTAAATCTTAAGAGAGATTACACTTAATGAAGTTGTTTGGTATTGAGAAGGTGTTAAAATTTTAACTTCAATGAAATAAGTCTATAAGAACAATTTTTTTTTCTAAAACCATTTATAGAGAACTATTATCTAAATCAATACCATATTAAAACTGTTTATAGATATAAGTTTTAAGGCGTATAAAGTGTGCTCCTTGGGCATCATAGTGTGTATACTTATAGAGTCCACTCACCAATAACTTCGTTATTTCAATGGCTACGACTTTCATTTTTTCACGGTCAGCATTAATTTATGTTGTCTACGGACTGACGACAATAGATTCCCATAAATCACGTTAATTAGGTTGCTGATTATTGTTGATTGTTCACCTATCGCTGACGATGGCTATTGAATCATAAATAAAGACTGCATTTACATTTAATTTATTTCTTCTCCGGTACAGTCAAGAGAACGTCATGCTTGATACTTTGGACCGTTCTTATTATAAGCGGCATAGAGTTGGATTTAAGTCTTAAATGTCAAGCTTGACGTGCTCTTGACCCTATACCTACTCCATAGAAATATCGGGTAGGATATCAGAAATACCCCTATTTATTATATACTATATATTATATTAGAGGGAAAATAAAATATTATTTATACACAACTCATGGGAGTTCATTATCTTAAAAACTCAGTTGTTATGTTTTTTTAAATCTAACAATAAATATAAGAGAGAACCTTTGCTTCAAAAATCTATCGACTTTACCCCATCCCTATGAAAACATGAAATGAAGTGTCACAGGGATCATCCTAGACAATTTGTAGTATAGAAAAACATTTTTTTCCGCTTCACCTCCGGTGACTCCGGTCCTACATATGGCTGAATAGATGAAGTCAAGTGTAATAACTACCATCCTGTAAATATTCCTATAACCTATTCAATGCAAATAAACCTCATTTCATTGCATTTCTTAAAACTATGATGACAATGTTACGATGTAATATGAAATACCACCATGGATAGTAAATATTATAGGTGCGACTATCATTTTAGTACTCCGAAATAGCAACATAAAGCACTTCTTCAAGATTTTCGAGGTTTTGTTCGGGATAATTGACACGGCCATAACGTATAGAGCGAAATTGGCGGACTGATGGATTGAGATCCAGTGTGTAGAAATCCACCTACCGTTGGCACAAGTGACATACCCACTAAGCACTTCTATTGTATTATTTATTGTTCTGTGGTAGATGAGTATAACAAGTAGAGTCGGATAAGGTATTACTGTCCATTTCTTTACAAGTGTATCAAAAGTGGGATGGTACATTGTTTTCGGAACAGTCGACAAAAAAACAAACCGTGGTGGACATTCGTCCAACTCCCGAGTTAGAGGTTTGAGGTAATAGCCTATTGTCCTTTGTGTTAAGCAAGGAGGTGTATTCGGCGTCAGGCTTTCGTCTGTGGCCACAGTCAACGACGCTTTACCGACATAGTACCTGAAAACAAAAATAATTTGTGTACAGGTAAAATTATTATAAATGTAACTTTTGACGCTGATTTCCTCTAATACTTAAGTAGGTACTTAACTACAGTAGGACTTCCCTCTGGGAGTCTATTATCTATCAACGATACCTATTTATCTATACACTCAGTATACTTAATATTATGTACACAGGAATGTCATGAGTAGGTATATTTCACACTGAAATGCCAATGCCCCATATTCTAAGGCTGGTTTCAGAGCAGCAGTAGAGCTCCTTGTGAAAGATTTGTCCAGGGAAGTACTGCCACCTTACCTATTTCTGCCGCCAAGCAGTAATGGGAGCATTACTGCGTTCCGGGTTGAAGGGTAAGGGTTCTGGTGAAATTACAGGCATATAGGACTTGTCAACTTATGTCTCAAGGTGACGGAGGCAGTGGCAGTGTCCCTCAGATCTTTGCGATTTAAGGCTCTGAAATGGCACTGCAACTGTTATGGACAGGCGTGTAGCTTACGATCGGGCGCACGAGTTGTTCGTCCCGTCACTTGATATCATAAAAAAAGTGCGGGTTTATGTGCGGAGCACCGAAGCGGAATGGCACGTGTGGCTGAATGGCGTTAGAACATCGTTTTACAGTGACGTGGATTGCTCCGTACGGAACACGCTCCGCGTGAATTCCGCACAAGCCACCCGTGCGTTCATTGTAGGCGACTGGCTTCCGTGAATATCTGCACTAAATTAAATACTCGATTCTGAGCACTGAGGATTCTACGCATGCGGATGGCCCGCAGGCGGATAGTCCGTACGGACGGTGCGCTCAGATGTGAAACCAGCCCAAAATGTGCTGGTATGGTAGTAATTTTTCTAAAAATTTTATAAACGTACTTGTTTGGATCATATGACCCCAATTTTGCGATATTGCTCCGTGGGTTTTCCGGATGTCCTCGGTGTTCCATTTTGACTATTTTTGCAGGTTAATGTCTTCTCAAATTATAAGGGAGTCACCACACTTAAAGCCGTTCAGAAAAAAGTTTATGTCCATGTAATAAGAGCAAAAAAGACTTGTGTTACGCGTCTGGCGGTCCAAGCGGAAGCGTAACGCGCTATGAATTTTTTCGATCTTGTTATGCATGCGTACATACAGCTTTCTGACCAGTTCAAGCCGACTGAGCGTTAGAAAAGTGTGGTGACTCCCAGAAACGCTTACCACGAAGAGCAAAGTGTTGATAACAAGAGTTGAATGACAATAATTCTGTTTCACTTTACTAATTTTATATTGGGTAACACAAAAAATTATGTTTGTTTATGTTAATTTTTTTATAAGTTTTGACATGACACCAAACTTTAATCTATAGACAAGAGCATTCACTGAAACTATACAAGTCTAATATAATTGATAACTTTTTTATCTATAGCCAAATTTTATTATTATGATTGTTGATGAAAACATTGGTTTTTTATTTTAGTGTCTCACAGTACTTAAATATTGAGCTCACAAACTTGTCCAAAAAATGCCACGATTTTAGACACTCCTTACGGTCCACTCCCTATGCAATCGTAACATTCCCCGCGCTTCAGCTCCGCCCATTGCTCGCCCGCCACTCTCTATCGTACTCAAGGTAAGTGCGGCGATGGATCAGTGGTGCGAACTAATTATGCTTAATGAAAAACTTAAGTAATAACTTTATCATAACATAATACCCACACTGTTTAAAAAAAGTATAGATGAAACGGATATCCGGCACCTATCCGGTGTCCGGTCTATTCGGCCTATTTTTACTATCCGGCCGGATACCGGATAGTAGAACAATGTCCGGTCATAATCCGGATATTTAATAAAAGACGAATTCATAGTCAGTAAGCCAAATAAGTTGATTTATTGATTAAATATGATTGAAAATCGTTGATAATCTGTTTATTACACGAAGAACTATGAAGTTAGATAACGTGATCTGTAAATTTAGTACTCAAATTTCAATAAAGGCAAATTATAGTGGAAGAGGCCAATTATTCTGCATTAAATGGTAAAGGTTGGTTCTATTTATTTTCGTAAAAGAGACCAGCTTCAAAGAATCACTTTTCATTATAAACTCTTGGAATCTTTGTTAATTTTTAAGTATACTGTTATTTTTAGACGACTAAATGAAAAGTTCACGATCACGATTGACTTGGACTGTCTTTAAACACAATATGTGCCTACAATAATTAAACGTGTAAGTAGATTAAAATATTTCTTTTTTGTCAAATCTGGTATCAAGACTTAGAATTGGTGAGCTCAACAAATCAATGAAATCAAATTGAAACAAAATAATAACGTGACGTGACGAGACGAAAGTTCCGAGGAAATTTTTTTGTATACTGCGTCCTGATTTTGATTCAAATAGTTTCGAAATCAGATGGGTTTCTGAACGAGAAGGTGAACTTGATACCTATTATATCTTTCTGATTTGAGAGTTAAATCTTTTCCATTCTCTAAGTGGAAACAAATAAAGGAAAGGAGCTGCCTTATCTACGGAATAAACGTCCCTACCTAAACCAAAAATGTCCACCTCAAATGGCGGATTTAGTGTGTACCATAATCATAGATAAGTCAATATCGACATGCAAATATATAGCTTGAATGTTGAAACTGTTGTTGCTGTGTTTTATGTTTGCAAATTTGTGTAGTTTACTGTAATCAAAGTATGATTAATACTAGGCTATTATTACTAGGCAAGTAATGAGCCATTTTAATCAAAATTACATATAAAGTTATTTACCAATATCATGTAATCTAGTTACATTCAAAGTTCTATTTAAATTTAAATGGAGTGAATAAACGAAGATGGTCTTTGATCCAATGTTTATGTTCGGCAGTGCTATAATGTCCAACCATTCTTTCTTTCTTTTTTCATTTGTAGGTAAACTTTAAAAATAATAATAATAATAATAATGAAATAATAAAAACCTCGTAGTGAATTGTTTCAATAACAGAATATCGCTAATATGTCTGCTTACAAGAACAACACTATCTCAAAATAATCGTTATCAACAATCATCAAAACAGGCAATCTAAAGTAACCAAAGCAAAAATCGGCAAGACTTATGAATAAACTACTTAAATGAGTATGATTTATAGACAGAAAAATAACACATAATAATGTAACATTCGGTTGATTTCCGCTTTTTCTACTACCGCACCCCTTAATGCTGCAGCGACGCATTTTTATCAATACTTTATTGTTCTCACTGTCAATACTTTTGTCCATTTCATTACAATTCATGCGAATAATTCACTAAAACATTTGGCCAAACATTGGTTTTGACATTTGATGTACTTCCCTTTGACAACCGGATACGGTCGTTAAAGGGTACTCCAAAAATCATTGACTTACAAATAAATGGACGACGGGTCTAATACAAAAACTACGAAAAAAATGTCCCAAGTCAACCTATTTAAACGTAGTGACATGTAAAGGAATATGAAAAAGCTAAAACGTTGAATTTAAATTGTAATGTCATCGCAGTACTGTCTAGTTTTGCTTGCTTCGCTGTCAGTCGAACAAACGAAGACTAAAGCGTGAATGACGCTATGTACACGATTTTAACGCCCTATAAGTTCGGACACTTTTTAGCGCGGACCCGACGTCCATATAATTGTAAGTCAATGCCAAAAATGGTAAAATGATGACATTACTTATTTTTGATCGCCGTGTTTGACATAAATTAATTTAGTGCTATTTCTTTTGGCTTACGACGGCACGCAGTAGTTAAACAAAGACAATAAAATGTTTGTGTTTTCGCCGTCTAAATGCATCATATACCTACATATAATGTCTGATTTATATATGCAATATAACATGTCCTTTGGTTTCCATTTTTTTTCCATCCTCTAAAGGTTAAATCAAGTATTGTTCCCTTAGACTATGGAATTCTTTTCCATCCAAGATTGTTCCTATTAGAAATGTCAAAGTTAAATGTTAAATGTTAAATAACTAATGCGAATTAAAATTCTCTCTCTCTCTCTCACACACACACACACACACACACTCACACATACACACACACACACAACCTACAGAGTACTAATTCATGATAAGTTGTTATGATAAAAATTACGTTCTATAACATAAATTATAAATGTCTGTAACGTCTGTCCTAGAGGCGGGCGCTAATGATTGCGACACAGTCCTCGACTACTGCGGTCATTAACGCTTAACATTTTTGTATATCTACTTTAAGTTTTGGTTACAAATAAAGATTTTTATTATTATTATTATTATTATTAAAGTTTCCGATCGGCCAGTTGTGAATCGCAATTATCCGCCTCGACTCGGAAAAGACGCAGTTTACGATCGAGAGAGGCAATCAAAATCAAGCTTATGGTATGTACAAAAGGTATGAAGTTAAGCCATAACAAAAAAAAACTGAGTTAATTAGTAACATACCGCCAGTTGGTTTATTTTTTTCCATCCTATAAGCTTATCGCCGTAGGTGGAGAATTGGGTAGAGGGGCTCTATGAATAATAAAAACCGTATAAGCGAGATAGATTTATGCACAGACTTATCAGAGTAAACGAGAAAACAATATTATTTTTTGTCCCTTTCTACGTATGCGGTTCTGGTTGTATGACCCAACACTCGTTGAGTCCAGCAAATCCTTCCAAGTGTTTGATGTGCATCGATTTTATGTGTTTGTGCTTTTAAGAAGTGTTTTACAAAGTTACTAAGCGTTCTTTTGTAGTAATTGACAATTATTGCAGCTCACAATAATGGTGCATTGTTATATTTTAGGCTGTGAAAGCCATACGCAACGAAAAATTCCCAACATAACCTTTCACACATAAGTTTTAATTTTTCGTTACAATCAATGAATTTTCTTGTATGAATTACTAGTGAAATACTCTTACAAGCCTGGAATATTACGATTTCATGTATTTTAGATGATATTTGAAGTATTTTTCTTGATTGAAAGATTTTTGTTTGCATCATATAAACCTCCTAAAATAAGGAGAATATCTTACTTTTGTCAAATATGTCCATCTCGCTTCTACCAGCAGTTATTATGATACGCGAGAAAGAGGGATCAAATAAATAATGTATAAAATAAATTAGACCGACTTAAGCTGATTTTAGGAATACCTTGCTTTTGCCACTATCTTTTCGCCAATTTATGGGTCGTATTAAATAATGTATTTTTTACTTTTCAATACTAGTTCGAAATATCTATACTAAGTTAATACTGTTCAAGGGCCAATAAAAAAGTAATGATTTGTCATAATTGTTTTATTTGGTTACTAAAACTCAACCAAGCTAAATGTGGTCTGGCGGATTCTCCCTTCTTAGACTCGGCAGATTTCTTCATTATCATGAACCCATTTATACGTCCCACTGCTGGCCACGGGTCTCCTTTCAGGCGAGTGCTTAGACGACAGTCCACCACACTGGCCCAATGAGGGTTGGGGACTGCACACATTTTCCGAGGACTGAACCTTGTTCAACGTTTCATCACGATGTTTTCCTTCACCTTTTCGGCTCATGATAAATTTCAAATTAAATTTCGCATGAATTCCGAGAAACTCAGAGGTGCGAGTCTGGATTCGAACCCACGACCCTCTGCTTGAGAGGCAGTAGGTCAAACCATTAGGCTGCCGCGGCGTCATTTTCATTTCAATTTCTTGAACGGGGTAAAATTTTAAAAGTAGACAACCGAGAATTTATAGGTACTCTGTTGGCATCCCTTTTCAGTATACGCGAGAAGTTTCTCTATTCTTTTTTTTTATTCTCCGTCTACGCATACCGCAGACTATCGCACTAGTAACTCCTTAGAGGGATGGAAAAAAGTTTCCATAGTCTAAGGGCACAGACCACATACATTTCTTTCTTCAGTGTCTAAGGGTAACTCGGACACAAATGATTTTTTTGAGAAATGTGCCATCTATCCTTGATTTTGGGAACTTTTGTTTTTACCATTTTCTCTCGTGTCATTTTGGAGAAGAAATTACAAACTTTATTTCTTGTAATGAAGTAATTAATCTTTTATTAGCTTATTACAAATCGGTCGAATCAGTACATTTGATATTACGTGAGCTAAATGTGGACCATACTTATACGTAGGTATTAAAATTCTTTTTTTAGCGGCTAGATGTCGTTCAACGTAAACTA